AAACTCTAGGGTAGCAGTGAGGAGACCATGTGTGCTGGGAGGCATTGGTGGCGGCTGTATGAGTCTGTGTCTTCCGGGTAGGCATGTATAAATGTAAAGAAGCTCTGTTTTCTCCTCTCTCCCTCTGCTGTGCTGCTTGCCACCATCCCAGTGTCTTTCCACATGGGAGGGCGAAGGGAAGAGGTGAACAAGTCATCACTGAATTGCAGTCCAATCCACATCCATCAGCTTCTGAATCTTCTGTGTTATTACAGGGTTAAGTGCTCACTGAGCACCTTGGGGTCCTTCTGCATTTGCTCCAGGATGAGCTGCATGGCTGGGTCACTCATTATGTGCTGCATGTCAGGGTCAGCCATGGCCCATCGCTTTACATCCTCAGGGTTGCTGTGCCTGTTGTACTGAGCCATCGTACAGTGCTGATAACTGCTGGCAGCCTCCTTACAGCTGGAGTCCAGGTCCAGTGCCTTCTGGTACACATCCATGGCCTTTGTGTAGTCCTTCATGGCCTCTAGCGCAGTGGCTTTCCGAGTATAACCCTTGTTGAAGGTTGGCTCCAGCTGTGTACACTCTTCCCAGTCCTTGAGTGCCAGCTGGAATTCCAGGAGCTTGATATAGCGGGCAGCTTGATTGCTGTACAGTTTAGCATCTTGTGGATTCTGTTTAATGGCTTCTATATAGTGCTTCATGGCCTGAGGATAGTCTCCTTTCTGAAAACACTCATTGCCTTTGTTCCTTTCCTCCAAAGCCAGGTCAGGGTTGATGTAGGTCAGCCGCTCTTACTCCTTCACTGTTTTCTCTGCTTGCTGGCATTTCTTCAGTACATTTGGAGTTTGGTGTTTTGCCAAAGACTTACTGTAGGAATGGATGGCATCCTTATGCTTTTCCTCTTTGAAGTAAGAATTGCCCATTCGAGCATAAGCTTTGGCAGTCTGTTGATAGTCTTCTTGGTTTTCTCTCCTCACTTTGATGGCCTTCTCATGAAGCTCCTGGCATTTATTATGGTTACCCTTTTCAAAGTATACCACTGCTTGATTGATAATGTATGTCATGTTGGTGGAGTACAGTTCCTTGGCTCTGTCGTAATGCTTTAACACTGTCAAAATCTTCTTGTAGGTATCATTCCCCAGCTCTTTTTCTTTTAGTGCCTGCTTCTTATTCTTTGGAAGATTCTCTTCCATGACTCTGGCTTCTTCTCCTTTTGGGAAGGAGGAGGAGGAGGATGGAGAGGAGAAGGTAGAGGAGGGGTAGGGGGAGGAGGAGGCGAAGGGAAGGTAGAGGAGGGGGAGGGGAGGAAGAGGAAGAGTTGCAGCCTCTTTCTCCTTATCACAGTGTTGTCATAATCCAAGGGTATTGTAGTTTCGTACCCAAGTCAGATGGCTTGTTTTGTGGTTACTCATTCAGCTCCTGGTAGGTAGGGTCACTGAGCAGCATCCTTGTCCTGGGATCATTCTACAGTTTCTGATACAGGTTGAGCATGTTGAAAGGGTTCATGAATTCCCTCTCTGCAAACTGGGCCTCCATATTCTGTAAACCCTCTTTGAGTTGAGGGTTACTTGCTTCATATCTTAAACCCTCCTCATAGGTTTACTTGGCTTCGTCATATAATTTTTCTTCTCTTTTTAGCTGACTACTGCTAGGCTTCTTTCTCCTTCCTTTTGAACTTTCTTTCTCTCTCACCCCCCAACATTCTTACTACATCCATCTTTTCTGTGGCTGGGCCAGAAACAGAAACCAGAGTGCCAATAGCTTGATCCAATTCCTTTTCCTAAGTTTTCAAACCAGAAGCTCATCTAAAGAACACCTCTTCCAAGTGAGCAGCAGATTTGTCACTGTATTCTGCAGAAGTCAATAAAAGTGTATCTAAGGGCGATGGGAAATTTACCCCATTATTTGAGAAACTAATAAAAAGTGTGCTTTCCCATTTTATATCAATTATATTTTTTAGAGTATACATTATTTTGCATGCAAAAATGTCATTTATGAACTTTTACAGCTAAATTACTCTGAAATAGCTAAGGCAATGAAATTGGAACCTACAAATATGAGTGGACTTTTTCATAGTAGCACATAATATAACTGGTAGCTTCAGTTCAGTTTTGAAGCAGGTACATTAAAGGGGAAGAGTATCATTCTTTTCAGGGGAAATAGAGCATAGATCGAAACAAAACAGAATGTTTAAGAAACTGTCACACAAAATTTGATAGAAACCAGTGTTCTGAATATTTAATATGAACTATTCAAATGTGTTAATAGACAACCTTACACAAAACACTTTTGATCTTGTTTGAAAAAGTTACATTTTAATGAGAAAATTCTGTATTAATAGTTCATGCAGGAGAAAAGAGTTTTCAGTATCACTGAAGGTTTTAAAATGATTAGGTTTTAAGAGGATTAGACTTAGTTGTGCAGCCTTCAATTTAAAATCTTAAGGCTTCAAAATAAATTTGTAAATAACTAGCTATCATCTTATGGAGTTGTTTTATATTTTAATTTTCTGAAAGACAATTTTATTTTACAGTGTGAAGCCATAATAAAGTAACTCATGTATTAAAAGGGGAAAAAACACAAAAAACCAAAAACTCAAGAGCAGCTGCTTTTCTTGAATAGCCCTTGCCTCAGTCAGGCTTCAAGTCAACAGTTTTGCAGCCATCCTTATAGGCCTTCTGGTAGTCTCCTTTCTTGGCATAGGCCACAGAACGATTATTGTAGAACACATGGTTGTGAGGGTCCAGCTTAGTTGCCTAGAGTAGCACTGTAAGGTGTTGTCAGTATTCCTGGCACTCAGGGCCTTAATGTACTTCTCCTTTAGCTCATTCACCTGCTACATAGCCAGGCCAGGAACCCAGCTGAATCAAACCCGTCAGTTCTGCGTTACCAATTGCATCTGCTGCCCCCTTTCCCCATTTTCATTATTTTTGTTATTTTTATTCTTAGCCCATATTTATGAAATACATTGTTTACATTACTTGAGGTTAGCAGGTTCCTGCACATAGTAAATCTTTATTCTTTTTACTTCCCCTACCATGCCCTTGGTCTAGACATTTCCCATCTGCTAGAGATCTGCCTCCTTGTTTCTTTGTACTTTATCTTGCTTAAATGAGAGATAATGGGTGGTATTTAACTTTGTGTGTCTGATTTATTTAATTCACGATTATATTTTCCAGTTTCTTTTTTGTTTTCTTTTTTTAATGTATTTGGTTGTTACAGGGTCTCACTACACAGCTTAGACTCATAGTGATCCTCCTGTTTTTCAGCCTCCCCAGTGCTGGGATTACAGGCGTGTACTACCATGACCTGCCTGGACTCTGGTCAGCTCAGCCCATCATGGGAGCGGGGCTGGAGCAGGGTGTGGTGCTGGGGATCGAACCAGGGTCCCTGTGCTTGCCTAGGCTTGCCTAAGCAGGTGCTTTAGTCCACTGAGCTATCTTGCTGGCTCCTATTTTCCAGTTTCTTTTGTAAATGTTATTCAGATGGCTAAACATAAGCTTGTTCATGCTAGGTTTCGATGATGCAAAATTAGTAGCACTGGTTTTCTACTAAAGGTATTGATTGTTCAGTGAGAGAGAGAGAGAGAGAGAGAGAGAGAGAGAGAGAGAGAGAGAGAAAGATGTAAATGGACAAAGACAGTTACTATGGTAAATATAAGGCAAGACCTTTTCCAGATTGGCACTGGGGAAGGAGCTTTGGGTTCAGCATGCTGTCTGGAAAAGGGTTACTCTTAATCTGGCTTGTGAAAGCTGACTAGGGTTTACATTTGTAAAGTGAAGATAAGGTAGAAAAAATGAAGGAGAGGGCAGTGAGCTATCCAAGCCTGCTATGCGGAACTTCAGGTGACTCAGTGTTTCAGAATGGAGAAAGCAAGGGAGTGAATGTACGAGAAGCAGAGTTGGGCATGGCCATACCATAGAATGTCAGTTGAAGGGATTAGTCAGCGGTTGATAAAACATTTTATTTTATAAAATAAATAATCTTGATAAACTATTGAAAACAAAAGGAAATGGGACTATAAGGAAGATAGAGAGGCAGTGAACTGTGTAGTGTAATAAAGACAGTGAGGTAAGACATACCCCATGGTCTAAGAGATCAGAAAAGGGATATTTAACTCAAAACTGAAGTTTCAGCCTAGGATAACCAAAACTTGATTTTTTGAGTTGACATTTTTCAGATAGATGCAAATGATTTTTTTATGGCAGAGTATAGAACATTCAGGATGACTTTCAGTGAAGCTAGAAGTTGTCTTCTTGTTACATATTTTGTAGACTAGGATGGCTATCTTATTTACTATGTATTAGGCACTTTAAAAAAGTCTTTTTTATTGTAGAAAAATTTGATATATGCAAAAATAGATTATAACAGTGGACACTGCCAGGCTTATCTTGCCCTAACTATGATACCATTTACCTTCCATTATCATATTATTTTGAAACAAATATCATGTATCATATTATATATAACTATTTAGCTATATAGTGATCTATTTAAATAATAAGAAACAGTGTTTCTGTCTTATTTTATTTTTTGAGACCAGGTCCTACTGTGTAACCAAGGATGATCTGGAACTTGCAGCAGTCTTTCTGCCTCAGTTTTCCAAGTGATGAAATTAGAGGCATATACTACCATACCATGCTAAGACAAAGTTTTTAACCCAAGTAAAATTACCAATATCAGTTATTCAGTTTAATCAAGCAACTTATCAATGTTGTGATTTCTGATTTTCTTTAAATATAGTATAAACACAGATATAAATGAAAGTATTCCTCTATAGAGTTTATTTGATCAGGGGTTGATATAGTAGATTTTATAAATAAAGAGCTGAGATTCTGCTGAAAGTGAAAGAAGTAGTTAATAGGTATACATGGAGAGTTTCTACTTAAATAGGGATACATCTCCACTTACTTTGTTTATTTCACTTCCTCAGTACTTCTGCAGTTATCTCAGTACTTGGCAATATGAGGGAAGCCTACCTTATATCATTGCATGTATCTTTCTCATTTTTCTAGGTCTCTCTGTTCCCTGGTGTGTAAATGGACGTACTCAGCAGAGAAAGGCTGGGATGACAGTTTCTGGAAGATGATTGGTTTGGAAGACTTTGTTGCTGATAACTACAGCAAAATAGGTAAAAGAATAGAAAATATGTAGAGTGATCATGTGTGTGTATATGACTATATCGATTGCTTTGTTTTTATTTGAATTATAATATAAGAACACAGTTCAGTTTTTGTCAAGACTGAGTTTTCCCAAATGATCACATTGTGATGGGCAAGTCACAACAGTAGACCCTTGTTTTAGGATTTATTTGACTGAGTGGTGATGCATGCTATGAAAATCTGTGTTGAAATATAGAACCACAAGGTGGTCTAGACTGAGGAGGATCTTTGCATGGAATTGTTGGGTCTGGCATACTCAAGGGGATTATGCTACATTATATGGACTAGATTATATGGATCATATGGACCATTCCTAGTCTGTAGTAGAATTGTTTTGTGAGTTAATTTCAAGGGACAAGGTAAGTCTATGAACAAGAAAAAATGTAAAATAGATCAAAAACAGAAGAATCAGGAATAATACGGACATATTTACAATTCTAGTTAGCCATCATCCGGTAAGCAATTATATTTCAATGGACATTTTGAAACACTGGTTGATGTATTATAATATATTATAATAATAAGATTGAGTTACAATGTGATTTCTCTTTCATGGAATAGAATAAAAGTGACCATTAGTGCAATTCTTAAACATGACCTCTAACTTTGGGGACAAGTTAGTTCAGCTCTGATAAGGTCTCAGCTAGAGGGAAGAATAAAACGGTCCAAAGGAATCATGCATACTCTTTTGGAGGTGGTATAACCTCATTTTTGTTCATTTTCTGTTCACTAGCCTGCATTCAGAAGCCCTCAATATGCTACAGAGGTCTGGGAAATGAAGTTATTGGCAGAGTAGCCATGTTTTCATCTATGGCTAGTAACCTTGAGTGATGTGTTATTAAATATAGGAAACAACTGGTTGTATCTGCTACAACTTCTGATCACTCTTGTTAACAAAACTCCATAGTAGTAGTTCAGTCTACCTATTTCTGGAACAGTCCTCACGACAGTCTATGAATGTTCAAGTAGAAGCATGCTGAGTGATAATCCTGGTATGTTATCTGTGATTGTTTCATCTACTAAGAAATGAATCTGGGCAAAAGAATGGAGCCAGGGTTCTATGCAGAAAGAGCAGTGCTCGAATTTCTGTGGCTCTGTTGAAATCATCTCGAGATCAGAGTAGAAGGAGCTTGCAGTCAGGGAGAGAGGAGAAAGCAAAGCCTCAGTCTTTAGTCATCAGCTACTTTTGGATCTATCCCTAGGTGATTTGTGAACATTATCTTTATTTGGTCTTTTAAACCTCTAGTTTCACTATTCTCATTTTACAGATACGAAAATTGGAGTTCATTTCCTTACCTGGTATTAAGGGGTAGAGTCATTCTTTCCTTGGAATTTGATTACTTGTTTATGTGTGTTGATTCCAAACTATGATTTGAGCTCATTGACACAGGATTTTCATTTATTTACTTCATAGTCTCAGTAAGAACAGAAGGCACAGCACATTGCTACCTTACTGTTTGATTAGTAAGCAGATAAATTAATTATTGAGATTTCAGGCACTAGGAGGTTGGTACTTCTTGTTTCTAAAAGCTATAAGGATGTTTAGTATAGCAACAGTACCTTTGGCAACATGGTTCCAACTTTAACTATGGCTTTCTGATTATTTTAATGTTTTTCTCTTCTTTTTTATCTTATGCACCATACATGCTTAGTCAGTATATTAGTCCTGTTAATAAAGAAATACCTACAAGAGATATTTATTAAAAGCCCATAATGTTAATCTAGCAGAAAATTTCCAGAGCAACTTATTAGGTTTTGTCAATTATGTTACTGGATTTTTAATAGATGTCCTAAGGAGAAACGTTATTAACCGGAATATTGTTGTACATGGATTTAAACTTACCCATTCATCAGAGTTAAATGTGTGGTATTTTCTTTGATTTTCACTTCTGCCTATTTGAGCTCTGGAAGGTTCAATCTGAACCCAAAGCAAAAGACATTTAATAGGTATTTACTCTCAGTTATGACTTTGAGAAACTGCTCTGGAAGCCTTCTCCAGACATTGCTTAGCAATTCTTGGAACTATGAAAAGTGAATCTCGGAAGCTGCCCTGTGAAATGTTAAGCATTTCCAGTGGCCTCACTGCCTGTCAAGATGTGGGCAATATAGTACAAAACCTTTTAGCAGATTTGAGCATTGAGCAAGTGTCCTGGATTTGAGCATTAATACAATTACCATAATTCGCTCCACGTGGAGCTTTTAGCCAAGTCTTTAGCAGCCTTCCTTGGCTCATGCAGTAAATAAGTGCTTTTCCTGAAAGCTGAACACCTCAGCAACTGAAGGTCTTATGGAAGAATATCTTTGCAATAAATTATTTATGAAGTGTAAGTTAAGGATCAAATGCAATATTTATATGGTACATTTCAAGGACAGGGTATATTTACAGTGTTTTAAGTAACTACTTGCAAATTTCCAATGATAAAATGTTACTTACCAATATCTGTTTTCAAGGAGGAATTTGGATAATTTTGTTTGGGTAAATTATACAAAGTAAAGAAAAACAAGAGTTGTGAATTAAAAAGAGTATAAAATTTCTTTGTAAATTGAAAAATACACATTGAATTATTATTCAAAATTGATAGAGAAAGCCCTGACCTATTTTTCCATAGGAAATTATCTACCAATGGTCCAATAAAATGATCTTGTTAATAAATTGTGACCTTCAAGTCCGTGTGAATCATTTCTAGGGTTGCTATCTACTCCCATACGTTTATCCAAAGTAAACAGGAGGGAAGAGATCAGCAGGGAGGAAGGACCTTTAGGAAGATAAGCAGCATCTCACCTGTTCTAATGGATTGTCTAGGTCCCATGTTTTCACTTTACTCCCTGGGAAAAGAGCTTCAGTATAGTATTGGGTAGGGCATTTAATGAAAATTCATGTGTACAGCGTGGTTGAATCAGAGGATAGTTAAGTGCATTGCACAGAGAGCTCTTGTGATATGAAAAGTTCATCATATTACATTGTATAGCACTCATTATTTGGGATCAAGGAAGCCAAGCAAAGAAGAATGTGAGGCTTAAGAAGAAGTTAAGTAAGAAGAAGAAAATTTAAAACAAGTTTGTGAAAGGAGTTGGTTTCTTGAGTGGAAGGATGCTGTCTTTTTTTAAAACTGGTTTTCTCTTTCTTTCTTTCTTTCTTTCTTCTTTCTTTCTTTCTTTCTTTCTTTTTTTTTTTTTTTTTGGTGTAGGATCTACAGGGTCTCACTACATAGATTGGACTCAGTCATTCTTCTGTTTTCAGCCTCCCAGGCTCTGGTATTACAGGCATGCGCCACCAAACCCAATCTCAATCTCTGTCTCAGCATGCCCCGGGGCGGGGCCAGCATAGCACAAGAGGGATCAAACCTGGCTGCTGCGGTCTGCCTAAGCAGGCACTTTAGTCTGCTGTGCTATCTGGCTGGCTTAAAAATGGTTTTCTGTTCCCTAATGAGACTGTATTTTAGGTGCCAGGACACTGTAGATGCAGTCTCCTGGCACAGAGTAAATAGAGTTGACATGTTAAGTGCATGAGTGTACATATGAATGAAGGATTTGATAAATAAATTCTGTTTTACCTTCATTGTAGCTAACATTTAATGGAGATGCCATAAATTCTCTCAGTGAAATAATAATACTAGGTTATAGAAAAATAATAAATGTGTTTCACAAATTGGCTTTTCACAGTGAAGTTTCACTAATCCTTTATTTAAGGAAGGACTCCTGTAAACGGCATGTCTCAGACCAAATGATAGCTATAACTGCGTTCCTATAGCAAGTATCTCAAAGATCTTTCCAGGATAGGAAATGGAACAACAACGTATTTTAGGAAGCTTAGAAATTTTACTTTTCCATAGACTTTTTATGTCCTGTAGGTTTAACATTACATATAAAGAATATTGACAAAGGACCAGGGGCTGGGGAGATGGGTCAGTAGAATAAGTTCTTCCATGGCAAGCACAAGGGTCTGAGTTCAATCCCCAGTTCTGCCAAAAAACAAAAAACAAAAACAAAAAGACAAAGGACCAATGTTTGTTGGGGACATAAATGTGCCAGAAGTTATTGCTGTTCCAGTCTCAGGTCTAACCAATAGAGAATAATTCACAAAATCACCTTTGACTAAATGCAGTATTAGATTTGGTCAGGCTAAATTACAGAGCTGGTGGTCTCCTACCTCTGTTTGGAATCTGGCCAGACATTGGGACCTCGATAACACTGACTTCGCAATTTATTGACAGGCTGTGAAGTAAGAAGAAAAAGAAAAGAAACTTGTTGTGTTTGTCTATAGCACGTTCTGCTTAATGTATTTGATTCATCAACCCAGGAGGCCTAGTGGTCTGAGTACAGGTGGCTCAGAAGAAATTCACACCATGCCTGTCCTGACTTTACCCCAGGCTATGACTCCACTCCTTTTTAACAAGGCCCCATGGATGTTCTTTTAAGTCCCAAGGATCAGCTAAGTGTTGCCTTTTCCCATGGCTGGAATAAGTGAGAGGAAAAAATCAAGAGATGGGAGTGTTTTCATCAGTACTTCTCTATGCTGGAGAGAGAAGAAGTGATTCCCTCTTTGAAATATACCCAAAGGGCTTCTACTACCTGTTTGAATCATGATCCGTCTTGGGAACCTGTATCTGGTGATACCATTCATAGTTGTGGACATTACAAAATTCTTTTTCAAAGTTTGTCACACTTAATGTTCCAGACTTTTCCAACAGATTAAACATATTTATAAGAATTTATCTAGATAGTACTTGGAATAAGAGGGTTGCTTTTTTCATTTTGGTGAGAGTGAGGCATGTAGTTTACTTCTATCATTCTGTTTTCCTAGACAGTGACTGCTCTGTTGCTGCTGCCCAGTGTTGTATCATGTGAAGTAGGTAGACTTATTACTGATTTATACCAGATCTGGAAAACTTTTGGCCACAGGTATTCCCAACCTCTTCTAGGTTATGTGAGGCTGGTCCCACCATTATTTCCCATGGCCTGAGATGGC